TTCCTATATATATAAACAACCAAAATTTCCCCAGAAAAGGTGGGCCCAGGACCCCCCCACTGAATCCGCCTCTGTATCTGAATAAAATTTTGTATAGATAATGTTATGAATGTGATGCTATAATTTTTATAATAATAATTCTATATTGTCATATATATAAGTAAAATGATACTCGTGACATAAAACAAAAACCTTAACCATGTTAACAAGATGATAAATGTATTTCTAATTTCCCAGTTTACCAAGATGCTAAATAAAGTGTCTGGGGAGAACACTGTGTCCTATAGATGTTAACTTCTACTTCATTTGGATCTGTTCATGCTGTGAATTGTTGGCAATCATATATGTTTTCCAGTTTTGATATTACTTATTTTATATTATTTTGTAAGAGAGGAAAGCTAGATACAAATGTAAATCTTTTTTATTTGATACTTGTCTGATTCCGTGGGTGACATTTGTTTTTCAATATTTTTCGAAGACACCTCCACGTGACATACATGATATCAATTTAGCCTTAGGCTGAATAATTATAATATTTATTTTCCCTTTTAATACATGTAACATATTTCATAAAGACTGTTATATAATTAAACAGAATGAAACAAAAATGAACTTTATTCTGGTAGTACAACATGTCGAACAGAAAGAACTTCAGTAGCTTTCTCATGATATATGATTATGTACACAAACAATGAACAATGTACACCCTACCCTACATCTCCTTTTATTCATATAAAATTGAGAATGGAAATAGGGAATGTGTCAAAGAGACAACAACCCGACCACAGAACAGACAACATATTAAAGAACTACAACATGTACGTACAGATGTACAAAGTAGCATACAGAATAAAATAAGGGTATATACATTTATATATATAAGATTTACATTTGGGCACAGGACCAACAGCCCAGATTTTTAAAAAACTTCTTTTAGGTCTCTCAGAATTTCTATTTAGTAAGTACTACATTTTTTTTTGTACACTACAGACGAAAAGGTATACGTACTATGAAAATTGTCTTTAGAAAATAAGAATCTGGCCTGCAGTAGCCAAAGAATAAAAAATCAATCAGCATACATTTACACTTAATTTTAAGTCTTTCAAGTCTTTATGTGAATAAAAATCTAGATTTTTTGTTGTTTTGGCATGTCTAAAAACTGACCTTGCATGATGCAGCTTTGAAATTGAGGGAAAGTGTAGTTTGAACATGTACATAGCTAACTTCAAAACATCTGGCAGTGTCTTGCCTACACACTGTCTGCAAAGTTATAAACTCTGTGATAATAAAGGTGCTCAATACAGTTCATATTGATAATATTGAGGTGGGGTCTTTGTTGAAAATTCAGTCTAGTGTCTTCTTCTTCTACAGTTGCCTTCAGATTCATTTTAGACCAGTAACTTGTTATCAGAGTTGCCAATCTCAGGTTCTGATATCACTCGCTCTCAAATGAAATAATATCCATGATTCATGAACTCAAACAGATTGAATGCCAACTGGCCAACCATGGAATAGGCTAGAGCACATTATTTTTTTTTTATATCAAAAAGTGTAACTACATTGGGGGGGGGGGGGGGGGGGGTCTACATTGTATAGCATATAAACCAACTAAATTGCACATTAACACTGTGGACCATCAATGGACTTGCATTTAAGATAGTTCAGGCATAGTAAACTATACAAATCCTTGGTCCAGGGATAATTTCTAAATTCTACTGAACAGATGGAAAAAAGGGGGAGAAGATGCAACTTCAAGGGTAGATTTTTGTCAAAATGAAGATAGTCGGCTACAGAAAACAGCAAAAAGACGACCGAATACTTACTCATAGTCAAGTTATGTCGTACGATTCTGCTTGTATGCTGAAATCCTTGGGTACATGGGCCATTCTTCGCCTCATGCAACAAAAACAATCCGTCCGTTCAAAACATATGAGTTTCAAGCTTCCTGTTGAATCGGTTTTCCAAATAAGGAAAATAAGCCACGCCTCCGTTGCGAGATCGACAAGAAGGATTTTCATACAATACAAGTTATGGCTTGTAAAATAATGTGACATATGGTTTTTAATTACAACAGATTATCATTATTTATCTAATTCTGCATAGTTTATCAATAAAAAGAACAAAATACGAGAGCGATTGATGACCAAAGATATGAAGCGGACAGTGTCGTCACTATGGAGACGCAACGTTGCTCATTAATATTCATGAGCATCACAACAGTTATTTGCCCCTGAAAAAATTGCCTTAACATACCCGCGTAATTATATATACCTGCATTATTTACTTCCTTTATTTTTTGAAAGAAAATGCACTGTAATATAAATGCAAAACAAACAGATCCGAGTGCAATTTAAACAGATAGTCTTACATTGCTTTACTTATAAAATTGCTAAGCTAACTTTTTTGCTTAGAATGGTGAACACTTTGAAGTTCGAATTATAGCTAACAGTTGTGACTTCAATGTTTATGATATAAATGATGACAGTGTTATGACAGTTGATGAGATTTATAAATTATTTCCTCAAAGGAAAGACGCACATAGGTTGTTCAAGGCGCTTGATTCTACATCAGGTTAGTATAGTTCTATTGTAATTGTGTAGGATTGGTGTGGTTTTTCTTTTTATTAGTATTTTCCGTCAGCATCATTATCAAACACTATTTGTGTATGCTATTTTTTTCTGTAGTTACAAGAATTAGAGATGTTTAATTTTTTTTACTTTAAAAACCAAGCAAAAATACTTCACTGTCCTATTGAGTTAAATTGAAAAAAAAATGTAGGAAGAGGGAAACCACGTTACCAAGTTGATATCGTTTCCATTAAACCATCATATTTTTTTTAATTGCTTTTTATTGTGTGCTTCTTCATAAGATTTTTGTCTTCTGATCTAAAAAAAAAATAACCCATTCTAAAGATTATCAATCCAAGGAAATTGTTTTTTTTATATCTGTTATACAAGAAATAGTTAACATGGTTAACATGGTAAACAAGAAATGCCATATAATTGCAAGAATAGACATATTCTCCATTTTCAAGATGATATGTATGACCAGATCTGTTATCTTCGCTTTAAATATTCTAATGATTTATTGCTCCGTTTCATGAAATCGTGTTGACGTTTACATTATTTAAATGTATTTTATACAGTTATTATGATTAAAATTTTTTTTTCAGTTGATAGTAAAGTGACCATTGATGAATTTAAGCTGATGGCTCCTCAAGTTATAAGGACATGTGGATCCAGTCTAATAGCGCGACAACGTTAGTTGTGGGGATTGAAATTCTCCTCTGTAAATATCAGTGTGAACTCAATCAGTCTATTCATTTATAGTGTTCTAAATCTGGATGTTTTATACTGGTACTTATTTTACTCAACTAACATGATTTTGTTTCTAAAAAGTGAAGAATATTTCAGCCTCTGCTGAATGCAGTAGTTATAAACAATTTAAAGTGACTTTACTTTTGAAATACACTTATAATAAGCATCTTTCGACGGGAGTGATGCATAAATAAAGGCAACAGTAGTATACCTCTGTTCGAAAGTCACAAATCGATTGAGAGAAAACAAATCCGGGTTACAACTTAAACTGAGATAAACACATCAACTATAAGAGCATACACTTTTCATTAGTGTAATATGATGTTCATCTTCATTCGTGTAATGGGATGTTCTATCTGAAATCGTTTTGCTTTAATCGTATCGTAAACTTCTATTATCTTCTGATTATAAACATTTTTAAAATTACAGGTACCATTTAACACTATATCGGCTGCCCGTTTAATTCAATTTTCAAGTGTATTGTTTGTTACTTCATTTCATTATAGATATGTTACACAAGTATTCCCTATTCAAAACTTAGAGACAAATTGAAAGAGTGTTATTGATTTGTTTCATAAAAAAGAATGGTCAAAGTAGATACAAGTATTTTGTCTCAGTGATGGATAGATTTTACTTTGTAAAAAATCACTCTAATTCAAACAAAAATGCTTGATTTCTTGATTGACAACATATATGTTACGTTTGGAGGACGTGTTTTTTTTAACAAACTATCTGCATTCTTAAAGGAACCGATTGTGCCTCTCTTCTTGCCGCCTTGTTCTTTTATTCTTATTTGGCTGACTTCATACAGGAAAGAATAGAAGTTAGCAATATCCATTAACTTTACTTTCCGTTATATAGATGATGTATCTAACTAAATAATTCAAGATTAAGAGACAATAATGAACGCATTGATACCATCGAACTAAAGATAAAGGATACAACAGATACAGGTAAGTCTGTCTCATATATCTTGACTTACGTCTAGGAATTGATGATGAGGGTCAGTTGTACACAAAGATGTACGACAAAAGGGATGATTTCAGCTTCCCAATTGTAAACTTTCCATTTCTATGTTGCAACATTCCAGAAGCGACTGCATACAGGATTTGTAATAACATTAGCAACACGACGGATGCCACATTTGGAGCAGGATCTGCTTAACCCTTCAGAGCACATGAGATCACCCCCAGTTTTTGGTTTGGTTCTTGTTGCTTAGTCTTTAGTTTTCTATGTTGTTTCTTGTGTACTATTATATGTTTATTTGTCTTTTTTTTTTTTAGCCATGACGTTTTCAGTTTATTTTCGATCTATGAATCTCAATATCCCTCTTTTTTACAGTGATTATTCTTACGAGTCTGTTCTTCCGTCAGTACAATACGTGCAATCAATGCAGAATATGTATTTTTTTATATCATTTAATTACACATGGTGCACGTTTCAAATCTAGTCAGTCCTTATTGATTTTAAAGGTCAACTAACAAGAATAAATTACTTTCTAAACTTGAATATTCCTCTTCCTTGAATTATTTTTACTGTTAAATTATTTTTTACTGGATTGATAACTATTGATTGTTAACTTCCCGTCACTATGTAAATATAGCAATATTTTAGCAGGACCAACTAAGTTTCGAGTTTAACATTTTCAACTCAAACGTTGCTAGACATAGAAAACACATATCGCAGGCCTTTTCAAAATATATATTTAAAACAGATAGGTAAAACATCATAACACACATTTTGTAATAAAACATTTATATACATTCGAGCCTAAAAAGCGAAAGGAATATACCTTTTTTCATATATATTCTCGAACGTTCAAAAGAAAAAGAAAACATATATATGTGACGTTATGAAAAGTGTCATAGTGTGTAAATTTTCAACAAACAGACATCTTTCTTATCTAGTCATTGTCAAGCTATAAATCATTGTGTATTGGTATATTTACATTATATAAAACCAACTGTTTTCAAGTTTTAAATTCATTGTTTCCCCTTTAAGTGTCAACAGGCACTTGCATGTTATGTCTTTGTACATTTAACAAAGTTCTTAAAAACCTTTGAACTAACCAATCAGTATTAATGATTGCATTGCACATTGGACACGTTTCTTTTATGTACGACCACTTTTTTAAACATGATTCGTGGAAATAATGGTTACAAGGAGTAATCTTAGCGGACGTCATATTGCGAAGGCAGATGGCACAAACATCATTGAAAACATTTAGCTGTACTTGTGTTGCATTTGGTAGGAATGAAAGTCTTTTAACTGCAGTTCGACGCCTTTGAAATTCGGTCCATCCGTTGGTTACTCGCTCATAAGTATTGTAAATGCACCCGGCTAATATAATACAACTAAGCCAACTCCATTGAACCGTGGTTATATTCCACGTGAGAAAGCATATTTGAAGAAGTGCAAACGTTATATGAACTATTCCGATGGCAGCACGCACGCCATACATTATTTCATCTAACTTTTCAATTGGTTCAGATTTAAAGCTATCCAATACCAACAAGAGGTAAACTGAAAGAGACCCTACCGATTCAATGCACACAGATATCCAAGATGCAGTAACTACAAGAAACCATATTATGCCTAAACCAAATTCAAATTCATAAAATTTCATCACCACCCAAATAGGGAATATTATTAATACAATGATAATTGTAACAGCTTTGCATGTCTTTACAATTCCGGCTCCCGATGCTCCAAGTTCCAGTAAAAACGAATCAGCAATCTTGTGTACTTCTTCTAGAACAGTACTAGCAGCAAGAAAAATTCCAAAACACATCATCATACCATAGAAATTTACATCACTGTGAAATGACTGGATTGCTAAGATACCCAAGACAAAAGCAGGCGTTAAGAGCTCTGAGGTATTAATTCCGTAGTTTCGCCCACGTAAAAACCATAACGTTGTTTTCGGAAAAATAAAACAGATGTGAGTAATTATTGTTATAAAGGCTATTGTGCCTATACTAGTCATACACATTATGGTGATAGTTGTCATAAAAATTGTTCCAGCTTGGATAATGTTTCTGCTGTATAAAAATATTGGGATAGAAATTGCCAACATGATTGCATAAGGAAGGAAAACGAAAACAATTCTATTTTTCATTATGCTCGCATAATGTTGTCGGATTTCAGTTATTCTATTTTTTAGCAAAATTCGTGCTCGTTCTTTATCCAATTTACCCATAATAGAAAAAATAACGAGGTTAATAACAAAATATTGTGTGTTCGGCCAGTATATCCTGTAGTATATTTGAAGTAAAATTAGATAAATACTCGTGTTTATGCCGAATAAGTAATAAGTTAAAATGATTAAAGCAACATGATACAAAATGACCCAAACATGATTCAGAAACTCCGGTGCGAATACGCCAGTCATTGTATCCGCAAAGACAGAAACTGCCTTTAAACAAGTTCCAATAATCACTAGTCTTCTGGGAAAATACAAGCACAATTTAAATATTGAACTTATCATCTTTAGGCAAGTAGCAATGGTAAAAAACGTAACTCCTAGGTGGTAATACAACAGCATATGAGATGATTCTTTTGTCATTGTGAATAACGTTTGATATTTTGCGGCCAATTTAATAAGGGTGGTCCATATATGGTTCTCCGAAGAAGGCCACATCCCTATTATGAAGAGAAAGCAAACCAAACTCTCGTATATTTTCCCAAGTTGTCCGTTGTTCAGCAGAAGTAAAATGACAGCAATTGCCAATTCTACAAAAGTGAAATATACTATAGATGTATTATGCGTTTGTATGACGAGGTAGCACTTTACTATAACTAAGAATAATTACTGTCGAGCTAGCATTTCTTAACATATGTTTATTAAATGTAAATGCGAATGACAGTTTTGACTCTATTCTCGCATCATTTAGGAATATTATTATTGCTATAGTACTATTGATGTAGATTTAAATATGTGCAGGTCATACACGACTTTCAACCGTAAAAAAAGGCATACCGTAAAATCAGCTATAAAAGGCTCATTATGACAAAATGTTAAATTATTCAAACAAAGACAGATTCCGCCTGATTTTAGTCGAAATAATCAACAAAAACAAATAATACGATATGTCTTGGGGTTACACATGGCCTTAATTGCTCAACCTGACCTTCCACTAACCATGGGATTTTCAGATGGCATGTAGCATTACACAAATATCCTAAATACGACAGATTTAAAGTATCGATAAAAGAGTTTGTTGTCAAATTTGTATCAAAGTATCGATGCAAGAGTTTGTTGACAAATAGCTATCAGAGTATCGATACACGATCTATAGTTTGTTGACTATTTAGTATCAAAGTAATGCGACTCTGAAAACGTAACACAATGAACATTCCTGTCAAATTTAGATCATTCTGTTTTGTGGTTTTTAAATAGGAGACGAAATGTGAAAAGCCAACCGATGGACGACGAATGACGTCATAATCTCAAACGGCCTTAAGCCAAGTCAACTAAAACACATCGATATCAGGTTATCAATGCAGTAATGAATCGTTCTACAAAAGTCATAATATTGACATAAACTATTATTTAGGTGATTCGTATATAAACTAGATAGTAAAGCCACAGTAAAGTGGACATAAGGGTGCATACTTTACTTTTTTCTATATGTGTATCTACGTTAAGAACACTTCTATACTGAGAACGTTTTTATTTTCTCTTTTGCCAGATTTAAATCTATAGACTACGCAAAAATGTATGCGTTATTCATACATTAGTGTGATTTTTATCTGATGTAAGTAATATACAGTCGTACTTTCCTTTCTTTTCATTAAACTAGTATTTTAGTATCTAAGTTGCATTGCTCTTTCTGAATAATTTTACATTCCTTTACAACTATTTGCATTTGTGTATTTGCGTACGTGTTCATAGAATTAACAAATCACAATCTTTTATAATTTTACGTACCCATGTATAAAAGTGGTGTTGTTATCATTTGAGATGCATACATTCTTAGTAGAGCATCAATCAAGAACAGTAACGGCAATCGTTGTAACGTTCCAACAATGGTAATTCCGTGATCTCTCATTATACCTAAATTTATTAAAAAGAGATAAGTATTGAAATAAGCGTTAGAAGATGAGATTTGAAAAAGACAATCAAGTCATTAAAGAACTTTAGATAGAGAGGGGAAACCCCAGGGTAACGTGCAGCTTTCAACCATGAGCATATTCAATACCGAATAGTAAACTTAATGTGCCTAACCAGGAGAAAAGAACCAAAGGAGAAGACACTTCGAATAATACAAATAAACCAAAACATGACAGACAGCAATCAAAGACAACACCGTGACAAAATAATCATAGCTTTGGACTTGCACACATATAACGTGGTTTTTAACGTTTAATCTTCCCCTTAAGTCAAACTGAGCAAAAATAAATGAAAAAAGAATTTCAAATATCAAAATGACAAATGACATATAGTACCAATCTACTCGGAGTACTGGAAGTAACTGACAGCAAACTTCTAATTTGAACTTAAAAGTTGTCCATTTACTCTCAAACTGAAAGGTATACATTTATAATCAAATAATGAAAACATGTTGCAATCTTACCTATCATTTTGAGCGACCTTTGCTACTCTTAAAAACCAAAACATTAATGTGGCATTCTTTCAATATTTTTAGTTTCGGTTTAAGCATGGAAATGGAAATTTATATACTTCGTCATTGCTGATTTTTAAAAAACCGTGTCAAACACTTTAAATTTAGGTTAACGTAATGGTCCATATATCTATGTTTAATAAAGGTTATTTACTGTGAATAAAATCTAAAAATAGAATTTGTATTTAAATGTACCTAAACTACGTCTGATAAAAATAACTTATTTACAGTAAAGATTTAAACAATATAAGAACGTTGAAGGGTTATATTTGCTTAAGTTTTTCTGTGTTGTAAATTTGTTACTAATTATATAGAGTCAACGAGATTTAAAAACATTAATGATATAGAGTTGTCGAGGATTTAACACATTAAGTATATAGAGGGTACGGGATTTAACACCGTAACAACATCAAACCGTCATTTCTTATTGGCATGATGTATTAAGTTATTAACAAAAGAATATTATGTTCCGAAATCATTTCTATATGTCAACTTTTGCAGAATCAAAAATAAAATGTTTTATATATAGGTGTAAAATCTGGAATATTCATGTTTTTCCTTCATGTTTAACTATGTAGAAATTTCCAAAATGTAAATTGTGTTTCTCACAAAATAGCGCTATTCAGATATTTTCTCATTTACCCCTATGGTTTTAATTCTGAATGCAATTTTTGTATGGGTGACAGACTGGAAAGAAATGTTCGGTGAACCTCAAATTTTTTTTTATCATTGTTAATAGCATTTAAATTTCGGATACGTATAAAATAAGGTGGTACATAACACCTTAGGAGATAACTCTGTAAAAAAAATTGTAATGGAAATATTAAGCTTCTCAATGATAAAAAAATATGATTTGTCAAAATTCTATTTATCCAATGAAATTGTTCCGATGAAGTGTGCGGTTCAAGTTTATTTAAATTTTAATTTGTTTGTCAAAGTAAATATTTGGTCCAAATGTTATGAAAACTAAACGAGCCAAATTAAAAATTTAATTATAGTCAATATGTTTGGTTCATTGTACCACTTGAAAGAAAACGAAAGGGAACAAGATATTTTTACTGACGGACTATGAAAACTCAATGCTAAATCATTCCTATTTTATTTTCAGGTATATTATTTCTAAAATAAATATATTGATATGAATTACATTCATAACACTGTCTATGTGTACCAAATAACGTGTCATGTTAAAATCATGTGAAATGCACTCAAACCCTTGATATCAGCTGATCAAAGGATGTGTTACCGGTTAAGGTAGTGACTGCTTGTTACCAACACATAAATGATTGACAGAAAACACAACCAGTTTGTTTGCACATGTATTGAGTTCTGTTTTGTTCCTACGGACTTGGCCCCTGACTTTGACCATAACAGCTTTTTTATTGCACTAGTTCAGTTAAAAAGAAGGTTTTAAATTTGTTTAGGTGCAGTCGATTGTATAGCATTTACAGTGTTATGTTTAATCTGTATGCCATGACATTCGAAATCTTGGTAATCAGTTGAGGTTAATGTCGGGACACTGTCTCGCTAATGGAGTTGTTTAATGACTTTACCGAATTAAAATTATCACCAGGTTTGTACTTACATGAGTAGTACGACGGTTGCCACATTTGAAACAGAATTTGCCTACCCTTACGCAACACCTGCAATCACCCCAGTTTTTTGTGGTCTTTGGTTTTCTATGTTTTTTGTGTACTGTTCTTTGTTTGTATTTTTACTTTTTCAGCCATGGCGATGTCAGTTTATTTTCGACTTATTAGTTTGAATGTCCTTTTGGTATCCTTCGCCTTTTCTTCGCGTGGCGTTGCCATTTCAGGTTGATGTGGTCATGGATGGTTAACAAATTAACAAAATCCCTCAATCTGTACCGTTGTAATAAGGAATGTTTTGTAGGGAGAAATCCACTTGTATAAAAAAAAGTTGTTAAACAAAAACAAATGTACGCTAACAACACATTTTCTCCACTGTTTTAAATACAAAGTTTCGTTTAAGCAAAGCATTAGAAAAACGATTACGAAAATTCGTAGTTAAGTTGTCTTTGAAATCTATATTTTAAAAGAACATCAGACGAAACAGATTATAGATTTAAATACGGTGATTCACATATGGTATCTACTGCTTAATAAACGAGAACAATTGCCAATGAGACAAATATCCATGACATGTATGTAATCCATTATAGGTACACACTGTAACATTTGACTGTCATGAAAGGCACAACAAGCAACTACATATAACAAAATCACAAACGACATATATTACCGATCTACTCAGAGTACTCAAAATTCCAAAGTCCAATTTGAACTAAAAAATGACTATTCACTCTCAGACTGAGGTATACATTAAACAATAATCTAATAATGAAAACATGTTTTGAACAGCATGTGCAATCTTACCTATTATGTTGAGCGACCTTTACTCGACAAAAGCTAAAAACAAGTTTGTCAATTTTTCAACATTTATAGTTTCGGTTTAGGTATAAACACGGAAATTTCCATACTGTGCTGTTGCTTATTGTCAAACAACGTTGTTCAAAAGGTTAAATATAGGCTTAGCGTAATGGTTTATATATATATATATATATATATATATATATCTGTGTTTAGTAAACTTATAGTAATGTGAATAAGATATTAAAATAAGTTTAATTTAAATGTCTTCATACGACGCCTGATAGATAGAAGTAATTCATAATTATTTTTGTTGTTTACCGTACAGATTAAAACGAGATACAAATTAAAAGGATATATTTGTTTGAGTATTTATGTGTTGTGGATTCGATAAAAGATTTTAACACATTAATGCTTTGCGTGTTTGAGATTTTAATACCGCTAGGATTCCTTACCTATCACTTAAAAAAACCCAGTGTACGATGCTCTCAAATATGCCAATGTCCACAGAATAGATAAAAAGTTGTTAAAGTTGCGTGTTATACGGAATTTGCATGCCATTTCTTCATATTTGATTCATATTCAGGGGGTTTTCGTCACAGTCACTTATGTCCATTCCTTTTGTTTTGAGTATGCTCTATCCTTTGTCTCAAAATTTCTCGTGCTTTTTGTTTTCCTGATTCTATATTGTTTACTATTACAGTCTTCATCCTCCTTTGAATAATGTATTTAGTATATTCAACCTTTAAATTTAGACTTAACGTACTTGATTAGTCATCTATGTTAATTAAAGGTAATTCACTGTGATAAACATCTAAGAATATTTGTTTTAAATGTATTTGAAATATGCCTGTTAATATGGCTATTTTTATGTCTTATATACATATAATATGTTTAGCGCTTAAACTGTTTGAACATTGCTTATGTGTTAATTGCTATTACATAGATTGTCGTATTTCAGTCATCTTCTTATAATGTTTTATGTTCTAGAGAATGAACCAGAACACCAGAAAGCTTTTAAATTTCAAATGTTTGGCTTTGAGCGTTCCTGATGAAGGTAAATCCAGAAAAGCGCTTCGGACGCATGAAATTATTAAACGTGTTTTTTCCAATTTTTTACATCATTGGGTCGATACCTCTGCTGGTGGAATATCAGTCCCCGAGGGTATCATCAGCTCAGTAGTCAGTACTTCGGTACTGACATGATTTATAACAAACCTTTCTAAAATTGTCCGTTGTTAAATTTTGAAATTATAAAGAAACTAAGGTTTCAACTCCCTCAGGCAAAGTTGACCTTAGATGAATTTGGCTATTTGTTTTAGGTATTTTTGTTATATAGCTCTTCAACTGTTTCGGTACTTATACATCCCTCGGATTTCAAATGTTTGGCTTTGAGCGTTCCTGATGAAGGTAAATCCAGAAAAGCGCTTCGGACGCATGAAATTATAAAACGTGTTGTTTCCAATTTTTTAAAAACTTTGTTTAATATCTTCAATGCAGTTGTAGTTTAAAGACAGCAAATGTGCAAAAGTGCTAATATTGAACAGCGATAGTATTGTTATATCAACTTTGTTAGTTTGTTAGTTTTGTCATAGAATAGGTATAATGTTTTGATTTTGATTTAAATTTTTTTCACGAAGCAGTGCCTTCATTTAGAAAAAAAGTGTTGTTCATTTTGCATTTTGAAATACTATACTACAACACTATTACTTTTTGTAATGTTCAACGTAATAATACTTTATTTTGAACTGCCTGTACATGTTTCTGCATGCTGTACATATTTCATATTTATTTGTATAGGGAGGTAAGGTCGTGGAATCATAAAAAAAAAAAAACATGGAATGTTTCAATTTTCTGATCTGATTTTTAGGTAAGTTTAAAAGCAAGGTTTGGCATAACTAGAAGCATCCTTTTGATGAGTTATAGAGACGGGTAAAATGAAATACTCCTTTCAAATTAACGAATAAATGAATAGATTTTCTTTAACGTCAAATGGCAAATAACTTTCATATCATTAAAATAACAAGTTGATAAGCTATGTTTATGAGATCTTAATTATACTAAATCAACAAATTAAGCAAATTGAATAGTGTTAAAATTTTATAGTGTAAAAGTTTTTGAACTTCTCATTTGTAATTTCAATTTTAAATTCCGGATTTACAAAATTTTACCTGACTTCCTCCTTAAATTATTAATTTCCCGTAAGATTTGTTAACGTTTAAATTTCAATCCTGTGAGTGAAACAGGAAAAATTACGTTCACCTCTAATTAAAGCATTAAGATATGACGGTCATTACTTTATTCACGAGGTTTTTCGTTCAAAAATACTACGAACTATTTTTTTCCGGATTTATAATAAATAAAAGTGAAGATAGATTCGAAATAGGTAAGTTAATAATTCTATGGTATAAAGGTCCACCATAGCTTTTTTTTGCATGTTTTGTTTTGTGCAGATAAATTCAACAAGAGTTTTCCACCAAACTATTAATTGACTGGAAGTAAAATTGTACACCGGTATCTAAGTATATCCCTGCACTTCCATATAACCTATATTACTGAATAAAAAAATCGAATTGCACGTTTTGGTCGTGCATTTCTACTTTTAACAATTTTTCTCTCAATTAAATGTTTGTTGAGTTTTCAGCATATAAAACCTCGTAAATATGTCTAAAATAATCTTCAAACAACTATGAAAAAGACATGCGAGTGATAGGAATTCTTATTCAGAGCAATGGTAACCTGATTTCATGTTTAGGAGTCCTAGCGAAAAAAAGCAAGAAAAGTCATGTTTTCGGTTAAAGCCAAGGTAGCTTCATTGGAAAATCTCCCAATAGAAATTTCTAGTAATCGTTTTGATCAAAGGGTTCAAACAGTTTAAACTTATAATTCTAAGATACCCTCTATGGAAAGTTAGTTAACACGATACAGAGCTAAGATAAGAGCTGATCGTAGTAATAAAAACTTTGATCAAATTTATTTTATTGATAAAAATACATTTAAAAGGTTCACAATAACTATTTACTTTTTTGCTGGGCTCCAGAAAACCACATCAAATATAACAACCCGAACAGAACTAGACAGACTCCAATTTGAACATTTTATTTGTGCACAATCTCTATCTTACATTGTTTTCTAACCTAGCAATACTGAATTATGAAAATACAAATATTTCACTTAAAAAAGCATTTATATTGTCAAAACTGCTGGACTCCCATTGTACTTATTCTTGGTATACATATGCACAGAATATGCCACCCAATCTAGCAACCCTGATTATTTTGATAAAGTTAATAATTGTAGGGATTTGAATGAAATAAAGTTTTTAAAGTCCTTAATTTAAAATGAACTTTAAAAAAAAGTTTTTAAATATTTTTGAAAATAGAATAAATAGTTATGATGAAAAAGGTAAACTGTTTCTCTATGAAAATTTTTAAAAAACTTAACTTGGATAGATAATCTTATTTAGCCTCCACTTACTTTTCTTTGAGAAAATTTTTCACTTAGTTTAACTTTAGTGACCATAACTTAGAACGAGAAATGGGTTGCTATTATAAAATTCATCAAGAGGATAGAGTGTGTAAAATGTGCCACTTGCTGGAGATGAAAAACACTTCTGCCTTGAATGTAAAATTAACAAAATGGGATAATTTATTTGAAAATTGATTACCTTCTAATAATTGTATGTCTCTGACCAAAGATTAAAAAGTAAAAGAAATGCTAACCCCTCTATCATGGAACATGTTAGAAATATTGGCTCCTTTATAAATCAGTCACTAGAACTGAGGGCAGAATTTTTTTGAAGTGTTCATTTCTTTCTATGTTTGTTCGGTTTTTTTTTTTGTATTTGTAACACACTAATTATGTTTATATGACAATTATGATAAGTATTACTGTCGAAGCTTCCATAGTTTGATTGCCCATCCGAAAAACTTTTGTTAGAATTGCTGCAGTTCTATTTTCAAAGTAAATTCACATTTTACGAACATTCAATTTTATTTCACAGATTATCAAATGCTCATCAAAAAGGAGAAGTACGTTTGCACAAAAAAAAAAAACAGAAAAAAAACAACATCCATTGGAGCTAAAACTTACTTTCGCAAACAATACGTTTCCTCAATGTGTTAACTAAAAAGTATCATTTTGTACTAAACATTAGAGAAAATAAAAAGCAATTCCGACAATTATTATTCATTCTAAGTCGTAAGATATCATAGTTAAAAAAAATACAGTTTAGACATACGCAAATAATTATCAGGACATGATAAGACCAAACTGTGTTGTTGTAAAAACACATATCGGATCAACGGCTTATAAATTTCGACGATTTGGTATAAAAGAGATGCAAAAGATACCAGCGGGACGTTCAAACTCATCAGTTGAAAAATAAAACTGACAACGCCAAGGCTAAAAAGGAAACAGACAAACAGGCAAACAATACTACACAAAACATGAGACAGAAAACAAAAGGATGAGCAATACCAAAAACTGGTGACAATTGAAAATGCGACAAATACCCATCAGAGATCACATAACGATAAAATTGAGAATGGAAATGGGGAATGTGTCAAAGAGACAACAACCCTACCATAGAGCAGACAACAGCAGAAGGCCACCAATGTGTCTTTAATGCAGCGAGAAACTCCCGCACCCGGAGGCGTCCTTCAGCTGGCCCCTAAACAAATATGTATACTAGTTCAGTGAAAATGGACGTCATACTAAACTCCAAATTATACACAAGAAACTAAAATTAAAAATGATACAAGACTAACAAAGGCCAGAGGCTCCTGACTTGGGACAGGCGCAAAAATGCGGCGGGGTTAAACATGTTTTTTGAGATTTCAACCCTTCCCTTTACCTCTAGCCAGTGTAGAAAAAAACAAACGTACAACAGTACGCACAGTAAAACTCAGTTTAAGAGAAGTCCGAGTCCGATGTCAGAAAAGGAAACAAAAGAAAATAAACAAAATGACAATAATACATAAATAACAACAGACTACTAGCAGTTACTGACATGCCAGCTCCAGACCTCAATTTACCTGATTGAAAAATTATGTCTTCATCATATGATGTTGATATCAGCTACTAAAGTTATACAATGTGACTGTCAAGTACTTAAATTTCCCATATAATGGAATGGTTCTGATAG